ACTGACCTTGAGCTCACTTTGTAACACAGGCTGGTCTCAAACTCCCAACAATCCTCCTGCCTCAGCCTCCCAAGTGCTGGGATTATAGGCGTGCACCACCATGCCTGGCTAGAGTACGGATTCTTTTTTTGTTGTTGTTGTTGTTGTTTCTGGTACCAGGAATCGAACTCATGAACTCATGACCTTGTGCTTGATGGGCAGGTGTTGTGCCATTGAGCTAAATCCCCAGACCCCTAGAGTACGGATTCTTGAAGTAGGTATTGATTATATTCTGAATTTTTGCAGGATCTTTTGTGATTTTACCCTTTTCATTCCTAATTGCATTGATTTGGGTCTGTTTTCTATTTGAGTCCTTTCTTTCCTTTTTTTTTTGATCAGGTTGGCTAAGGTTTATTTGATTTTATTTAATCATTCAAAGAACCAACTCTTTGATTCATTGATTGTTTGTATTGTTTTCTTAGTCTCTGTTGCATTATTTTCTCCTTTGATCATTACAATTTCCCCCCTTGTATGAACTTTGGGCTTGACTTGCTCTTCTTCTTCTAGAAGATTGAGGTTCAGCATTAGGTTATTTGACCTCACTTTGTTTCTCTGATATGGGAATTCACTGCGATAAATTTCCCTTGTAGAAGTGCTTTCATGCATCCTGCAAGTTCCAGTATGTTGTATTGGCATTATCATTTAATTTGAGAAGCTTTCTAATTCCTTCTTTGATTTCATCTGTGACCCACTGGTTATTTAGGAGGACGTTATTTAATTTCCATGTGTTCATAAAGTTCTTGTGGGTTTTTTTTGCCATGGATTTCCAATTTCACTGCACTATGACCTGATAATATACATGGGATACTTTCAATTCCTGTGCATTTACTTAAGCATGTTCTATGAGCTAATATGTGGTCTATTTTGGAGAACAAGAATGTGTATCCTGATGTTGTGTGGTAGAATACTCTGTAGATATCTACTAAGTCCATACGTTCAAAAGTGTGTTTCACATCTGATATTTCATTGTTGAATTTTGTCTAGTTGATCTATTTGTGACAGTGTGGTATTGAGGTGC